AAGAACACACAATAAAAAAAAAGACAATCTCTTCAACAAGTGGTGCTGGGAAAGTTGGACAGTCACATGCAAATCAATGAATTTATAACACATCTTCACACCATACAAAAAAAACAAACTCAAAGTGGCTTAAAGTCTGGAATATAAGACACGACACCATAAAATTCCTAGAAGAGAACATAAGCAAAACATTCTCTAATATAAATCATACCAATAGGTCAATTTCCCAAGGCAAAGAAATAAAAGGAAAAATAAACATTTGAGATCTACTCAAACTTAAAAGTTCCCATACAGCAACAAAATGAAAAGATAACCTACAGACTGGGAGGAAAAAACTGAAGACAACACAAACAAATGGAAAGATAAATTTTGCTAATGGGATTGAAGAATTAAAATTATTTAAATGACCATACATATCAACTATATTTCAATAAAATTAATAAAATGAAAAGTCTGAATCACAAAAGCATCATGTTTGCTTTTATAAACACACACATACATACACTTTTATGCTTGACAAGCCAGGAGTATATTGTTGTCCCTCGGTTTCTGTAGTGGATTGGTTTCAGGATTCAGCCCCTAACCCTTTAGCCCCCAGGCCTGTCAGATACCAAAATTCATGGATGCGTAATTCCCTTATATAAATTGGTTTAATATTTGAATGTAACCTGCCCATATTGTCCATAGACTTTAAATCATCTCTAGATTAACACATAATACCTAACACAATATAAATGCTATGTAAATAGTTGCCACTGTGTAGTAAATTCAAGTTTTGCTTTTTAGAACTTTCTGGAAATTTTTTCCTCAAACACTTTGGGTCATTGATTAGTTGAATCTGCAGGTGTAGAACCCACAGATATGGAGGGCTGAGGGTACATGCTTTCAAAATATCCAAAGTAATGTTTGCAAAAATGATTCTTGTGTTCAACCACAGAGAAAATTCCTAAAAGTTGAAATCTTTTAACTCACAATTACCTAGTAAAATGAAGAAAATCAGATAGAAAACCAAAAGGCTAGATTAATTAACACAGAATCATATGAGTATCAGATACATCCCACAGAAAATTCTAAAAGCACTTCAAAGTAATTTTTGGATTAAAGAAGACTAAAATCATAGACTGTTAAGAAATTTAGAACATTGTATAAGAAAAGAAACAGTTAAAGGAGTACTCAGAGGAAAATATACAGCCTTAAATGCATTTATTAGAAAATAAGAAGACTGAAAATAAATAAACATTTAATTCAGGAAGTTTAAAAATAAACCAAAAGTAAGGAGAAAGAAGGAATTAAGAAAAATAAAAGCGGAAATCAATGAAAATCAAATAACACTAGACTTAAGCTGGAGTTTTGAAAGTTCAATAAATAGTCCTGCCACTAATAAATTTGATTAAGAAAAAATGGTTGGTATTATTACAAGAACTAAAATTGAGCACTAAGTGCCAGGTATTGTGCTAGGCACTTTACATTTAATTCTATATCAATTTGATAAAAAGATATTATTATTACCAACCTAAAATACATCTTCTCCCCTTTCCTGTTTTATTTTTCTTCCTTAGCACTTCTCGCTCACATACCAGATATTTTTTTTTTAATCTTTCTTATTAATGTTTGCACCAACACAACATTTTCTTGTTTTGTTCACTGTTATATTTCCAACACCTAGAACAGTGTCTGACACAAAATAGATCCTTCATTTTTTTTAATAGAGGGTGGCATAACCCCTATTATACAAAAGTAGAAACCATGACAAAGTTGTTTGTACAGGACTAACCGGAAAGCAAGTGGCAGAGCCAGAGTCCCAGGTTAGCCAGTGATGTCAGAGGCCATACTGCTAATATTAAATTATATTATATTGTCTTCTTAATAAATATTAAGAATTAATATGGAGCTAAAACCACAGATCTAAGAATTACAAGTGAATATAATATACATCTTTATACCAACAAAATTTAAAATCACAATGTAATGAACAATTTTCTGAAAAATATAAATTATCAGAATGATTCAAGATGTGAAAAACTTAAATAACCTAATATAAATTGAAAATAATAGGGACTTCCCTGGTGGTTTAGCAGTTAGGAAGTCACCTGCCAACGCAGTGGACGCAAGTTTGATTCTTGGTCTGGGAAGATCCCACATGCCGTGGAGCAATTAGGCTCACAAGCTGAGTGCCTGGAGCCCATGCTCTGCAACAAGAGAAGCCCATACACTGCAACAAAGAGCAACCCCTGCTAGCTGGGACTAGAGAAAGTTTGCGTGCAGCAACAAAGAACCAGCACAGCCAAAATGAGTAACTAAACAAAAACGTAAAAAAAAAATAATAGAAATTTCATCTCCACCGGGTACCACGACCAAAAAATTTTAAGGGGAAATCTCATCAAATAGTGAATAGGTAATTTCTATTATTTAAACGGTTCATGAACATACAAAAAATGAAAATATTTTATTTTTAAAATGAGGATAGTATAATCCTAACATTAAAAACCATAAGGGCAGCGGGAAAGAAAGCTACACTCAAAATTCTGAACGAAAGTGGTAACAAACTGAATTATTTATTGTTGTTCAGTTGCTTAGACGTGTCAAACTCTTTGCAACCCAAGGACTGCAGCACACCAGGCTTCCCTGTCCTTCACTATCTCCCTGAATTTGTTCAAACTCATGTCCACTGAGTTGATAACACCATCCAACCATCTCATCCTCTGTCACTTCCTTCCTCTTCTGCCCTCAATCTTTCCCAGCATCAGGGTCTTTGCCAATGAGTTGCCTCTTCTTATCAGGTGGCCAAAGTATGGAGCTTCAGCTTAAGCATCAGTCCCTCCAATGAATATTCACGACTGATTTCCTTTAGGATGGACTGGTTGGATCTCCTTGAAATCCAAGGGACTCTCAAGAGTCTTCTCCAACACCACAGTTCTAAAGCATCAATTCTTCAGTGCTCAGCTTTCTTTATGGTACAGCTCTCACATCCATACATGACTACTGGAAAAACCATAGCTTTGAATATACAGACCTTTGTCGGTAAAGTAATGTCTCTGTTTTTTAATATGCTGACTAGATTTGTCATAGCTTTTCTCCCAAGGAGCAAGCATCTTTTAATTTCATGGCTGCATTCACATCTGCAGTGATTTTGGAGCTCAAGAAAAAAAGTTAGTTACCATTTCTATTGCTTTCCCATCTATTTGCCATGAAGTGATGGGACCAGACGCCACAATCTTCGTTTTTTGAATGTTGAGTTTTAAACCAAGGTTTTTCACTCTCCTCTTTCACTTTCATCAAGAGACTCTTCAGTTCCTCTTCACCTTCTGCCATAAGGGTGGTGCATCTGAATATCTGAGGTTATTGATATTTCTCCCAGCAATCTTAACTCCAGCTTGAGCTTCATCCAGCCTGGCATTTCGCATGATGTACTCCACATTTACATTAAATAAGCAAGATGACAATATACAGTGCTGATGTACTCCTTTCCTGATTTTGAACCGTCTGCTGTTTCATGTTCAGTTATAACTATTGCTTCTTGACCTGCATACAGATTTCTCAGGAGGCAAGTAAGGCGGTCTGGTATTCCCATCTTTTTAAGAATTTTCCACAGTTTATTGTGATCCACACTGTTATGATCAAACTGAATATGCAGTATATCAAACCAAGTGAGGTTTAATCCAAAAGTACAAGGATGGTTCAACATTTTAAAAAATCTATTAATGTAATTATTTCTTTAATAAATTTTAAAAGTATATGATCATCTCAATTGGTACAGACTTGAATAGACATTTCATCTATGTCTATTCTAAGATATAAGAATGACTAATAAGTATACGAAAAGATGTTCAACATCATTGGTCATTAAGGTAATGAAAATTAAAAATCACAATGAGATACTACTCCCTACCCATCAGAATGGCTATACTTACAAAGATAAGTAATATAAAGACTTAGAAAGGATGTGAAGAAACTGGAACTCTCACACATTGCTAGTGGGAAGGTTAAATCTTATAGCTACTTTGGAAAATTGTTTGGTAGTTTCTTAAAAAGTATAAACATAAATAATATGTGATTCAGCAATTTCACTTCTCTGTAGCTACCCAGGGAAAATGAAACCATATGCCCACATAAAAACTTGAACATGAATATCCATAAGCAGGATTATTCATAATAGCTCCAAACTGGAAACAATCTACATGTACATCAACTAATAAATAGATAAACAAAGTATTGCATATCTGTACAAGGAATAACTGTTTACTAATAAAATGGAACAGACTACACATATGTGCTGCAACAGGGAGGTACCTCAAAAACATCATGCTAAGTGAAAAAAACCAGGTGTATAAGCCTAGATATTGTATGATTCCATTTATATGAAATATCCAGAAACAGAAAATCTAGAGGGATAAAGATCAGTCATTACCTGGGATTGGGATGGGAATGATATTGAGAGCAAATGGGCATGAGGCAACTGCTGGGGGTAGAATTGCTTAAATTGGACTGTGGTGATGCTGTAAAACTCTGTGAATGTATGAAAAATCACTGAATGGTACTTTGTTTTGGTATCTAAATTATACTTTAAGAATGCTGTTAAAAATCACATTTACAAAAATGAGAAAACTGCTGGTTTATGAAATATGTTTAATCAGGACTCTATGAAAATCTGCTGGATGGCAATGAAATTGGATAAAAAATGGAAAGAAGCAAAACACATGCATTATTTTAGCATGAATTAACAAAATGATAATTAGGTTTGGGTGTATGATTACCTAAGAGACATAAGCAGTTATAAGAAGAGCCCAGAAGAATGATGAACACTATAATCTCCAAAGATAAGAACTATGAAAAATTTGTGACAACAACTAAAATACTTTCACTTTCAAGAAAAGAAAAGGTAGCTTGATCAGGGCCATTAAGTCAAGATGCAAAATCAAACTGCTCAAATTTTAATCCACACAAGTTGTTCTACTTTTTTCTATAGGGAAAAAAAAATCACTTAAAGCCTACTAACTTACCCATATAGATGGGCGTCCCACATGTGGTTTGCAGCATGGCCTCACTCCTTCCATGCTTCTTCACTGCTAAGCCAAAATCAGTCACCTGCAAGAAGAAATTCACATAGTCACCAGTTTTCTAGACCCAAAGTTCACACATTCTGCCAACAGAATTTCCACCACACTGTATTGCATTTAATTCAGGAATTTTTGAGGATAGAGGGGCTTTCCCTGTATTACTAATAAGGACCTTGCTTCCCCTCCCCACCTGCCCCTCCTTGTGAAAAAGAAACCTGGTCAAGAGAAACTTAGTTTTTCAAATTTTGAAAAAACACCCATAATGTTGATTATTCACTCCTTCTAATTTAAATTCACCAGTTCAATATAGGGAGCTGCTCTTCCAAGAAGGCATTTAACATTTTTTAAAATAAAAAGTTATCTTTATCAAGTTATTTCATTGTAAAATACATTCTGGCCTTAGTAAGTTTATTATCTATTTTTCTGATGCTCAAGCTATGTTTCAGTTTAAAGCACTGTTATAAATGCAAATCATTATTCTTGTCAGCACTCACAGAAACTCCTCCTTTTTATAATTATTTATAAAACATCTTCTCTAGTCAATGCTATCTTTTCTTTACTATTATTTCCTCTGTGTTTCTAGAGTATACTAATTTAAAAAATTATTACACTATTAAAAACTACGAGAAGCAAATTAACAGGAAAAAAAAATACACAATATAACTACAAATACACTGGAGGCCTACTGCTGCAACTGCAGGCTTTCTGCTCAGGTCTAAATCTTGGTCATTAAGCATTTGGTTATTAAATATTCAGTGTGTGCCCTTGGTATTGTCTCCCAAGTTGGAACAGCCTTGGGCTGAAAGCAGAAAAAACAGGCACATTTACTGATCACGCAACCAAAGATAAGACTGTGGTCCACAGACACTGAATGTAAAGTTTTCAATACCTTATGGAGTAAGAAAATGTTCCTATCAACAATGTGATATCACTATTTCTCTAAAGAGATCAATAAATTTCTCCAGGAGTGTTCATGATGACACTACTTGGAGCATCATGATACATTATCTTTCTCCGTAGAAAATGTATACAGGTATCAAATATATAAAAGTTCTCATGACCCAATTCAGTTCTTTGGAGGCCATTTATTCCTTCATGCACCAAATATTAATTGACCGCATACAATATTTCAGGCATTACTCCAGGTACCAACAGTGAATAAGACACACAAAATTCCTGCCCTCATAGAGCTTATAATGGAAATATCTAAGAATATTTATTTGAGTATAACAATACTGTTAATCCTATTTATGTTATAAATGCAACAGAGCAAGTTATTCAAAGACAACATTTTATTCCCAAATTAACACATTCATATATTTTGAAAGCAACCACTTTTAAAATACTAAGTAATAAATAATGTATCCGATCATTTATTTGACATTAAAGAACATTTAATTTGAATAAAGTCTTCAAGAATAAATACTTGGCATACTAACTGTGCTTAGGACATAAATATTAATACCCAAGAAATTTTAAAATGAGAAATACAGACTTTAGCATTAATTTAGTATCAAAGGCACAGCCAAGGTGTACTTTAAATCTGTAACACATTTACATCAAATTACCAGGCATAATTTTGAAATTAATTAGAACTCAAGAGCATCTGTTTGTTTGCTATTAATTAATGATTCAGAACTATCCAAATGAATATCTACTTTAAAAAAATTCAGTAGCACTACTTAACTTGTAAAATTATTCTTGTCAGTCACAACCTCTTTTGTGAAATTTTAATTTTTTTAGCACAGGCTGCTTATTTTTGGCTGTTAAAAAGCTTCTGAAATGTATCTTAAAAAGAAGATGTACGTTGCCACTTTGATATCAAACTATTTATAGGCAAACATTTACCACCATTTCTAATATCTTACCTTTATGTTTAAGTTCATTTCGTTGTTAGCATCAATAAAGCTGCTTTTAACCATTATGTTCTCCAGTTTCAGATCTCTATGTACTATATCTACCAAGAAAATAAACAACAAATCAAATGAAATGGATAATGAAAAAATAATTAGAGTGGACACAAATAGAACTTGACCAGTTAACATCCACTGTTGAAAAAGGAGATCAGTCCTGGGTGTTCATTGGAAGGACTGATGTTGAAACTGAAACTCCAATACTTTGGCCACCTGATGCAGAGAGCTGACTCACTTGAAAAGACCCTGATGCTGGGAAAGATTGAGGGCAGAAGGAGAAGGGGACAGAGGGTGAGATGGTTGGATGGCATCACTTACTCAATGGACATGAGTTTGAGTAAACTCCAGAAGTTGGTGATGGACAGGGAGGCCTGGCGTACTGCAGTTCATGGGGTCACAAAGATTCAGACACAACTGAGTGACTGAACTGAACTGAACTGAACTGTTGAAAAAAATCTGAGGAGGGCCAGGCATAATTCTGCCCTGTTTCATTCCCTTATATTCATATTCCTTTTCTCCACATTTCTAACCTTAAGGAGCCACTTTCTTTGACTCCCTGACCTCTCCCCAACCCCCTGCTGCTCCAGCTGGCCACTCTTCGTCATGAATGGCCTGGTGAGTGTGAAAGAGGATCATGTCCAGGGTTAGGTATTTCCTGTAGGAGGAAGCTTTCCCATGTCCTTCACTCTTCAAACAGAGGATTACCTGTTTACTTCTATTCATATGTTAGTGTCAGCATAAACATTAAACATACTGCAACTTGGCTACATGTATAGAAACTAGACTTATTTCAATATATTTTCTGCACTATCAGTCCCACTTTTCTACTCTTTATACATTAAAGTTAAAACAAAAACCCGTGAGACACAAAATCTCCAGTTGAACATGTCAGGGCTCAGGCAGGACTTTTATGTACATGCAATTACTCTCATGTACCAAATATTTCCTTTGCAAATAACTGATCCAGTCCATATCCATTGTAATCATTTCCCTAAACTTAAAAAGCTATAGGTATAATTTCCGGGGAAATGAGGCTGGATGAGCCCTGGACTGTTTACTACTCCTAGTTGTTTACAGTTCTTTTCCACACCCAACCTGTGTTTGGAATTTCTATTGTTCTCCTTATCTCTTCTTACATGAACACCACAAAACTTTAACTAATATATCTTCATAAGGTGGTTTGACACTTGGCAGGGCAAGTCTCTCTGCTGCTCCACTGTTCTTTTTCATTGTTTTCTTTACTATTCTCATCCCTCTCAAAATAATTTTATCAAGTTCCATGATAAATCCTGTTAAGATTTAGTTTGAAATATACTGACTGTATAGCTCAATGTGGGAGAACTGAAATTAGCAAAATATCAAGTCTTTGGTTTTCTGCTCTTGCAAAATTCCTCGCTCCCTGCCTGGAAAGCCCTCCCTTTTTCACCTGAGTTTGTATTCCTCAGCTCAAGTTTTGCTTCCTCTGTGAATTCTTGCTTGACTTTCCAAATCAAATGAGGCACTTAGTACACCTATGCTCCATGCTCTCTATATTGCTCTCAGAAATCATCATATTGTTTTCTGTACTCCATCTGTACTCCATTTGAAAACAAATCATCAATTTGTTTTCTGTACTCCATCTCTCACCAATTTCCTGAGAGGCAGGTGCCTTGTGTTTGAACCTCTGTAAACTCTAGGACCAACCTCAATGCTGTAGGTGCTTAGGGAACATCTGTTGAACGAGCCCCTAGCTTCCAGCACCAGCTCTGCACACCTAACCACACCTAACTTCTCTGGAACGAAGTTTTTTCTCTTCTCTTTTGAACTGTTGTGTTGGAGAAGACTCTTGAGAGTCCCTTGGACTGCAAAGAGATCCAACCAGTCAATCCGAAAGGAGATCAGTTTTGGATGTTCATTGGAAGGACTGATGCTGAAGCTGAAACTCCAATACTTTGGCCACCTGATGCGATGAACCGAACTCATTGGAAAAGACCCTGAAGCTGGGAAAGATTGAAGGCTGGAGGAGAAGGGGATGACAGAGGATGAGATGGTTGGATGGCATCACTGACGCAACGGACATGAGTTTGAGTAAACTCCAGGAGTTGGTGATGGACAGGGAAGCCTGGTGTGCTGCAGTCCATGGGGTCGCAAAGAGTCGGACACGACTGAGCAATTGAACTGAACCAAACTGCTAAAATGAGAAGCTTCTAAAGTCACATGTAAGCCAAACTAACACTGAAGGAAAAAAAAAAAGCAGAAGCATGAGGAAAAAGAGTAGCAATAATACCAGAGAATAGTAAAGCAATTAGAAGAATTAGTATAATATTTAAATGTGGATATTAAAGTAGTGAAATGACTCCCATATGGTGCTGTACTGGTAGGTCATACATTTGTCAAAACCCATAGAATGTACAATACCAAGAGTGAACATTAATATAAACTATGGACTTTGGGTGATAATGATGTGTCAGTGCAAGTTCATCAACTGTAGCAAGTGTAACCACTCTGATAGGGGATGCTAATAATGGGGAAAGATGTGCATGCATGGACAGAGGTATTTGGGAATCTCTGTAACTTCTCAATTTTGCTGTGAACATAAAATTGCTCTAACACTTAAGTCTAAAAAATTTTTTAATGCCTAATATATGCAGATTTTTAACATTATTATTAATATGAGTTTTTAGAAATTTCACTTCTATTGATTTTCTATTTTGGATTTAATAATATTAGCTTCTTTTCAAGCTGTTGAATAGAAATGTTCATAATTTCATTCTCATCCATGGAGAATGTAACTGCACACCTGTCTTGTTTCTAATTAAAATATATCAATAAAGTTACAAAGGAAAAAATTTAATTTTTAAAATCAAATTTTCTGTATTAGTAGGCATTACTTCTGTGACTATGAATCCTGAATACAATCACCCTTAAACAAAGGTGTCTATCTGTCTGCATGGAGTCAATGAGCTGGGTGATTCTCTTCTTACCCTTATTGTGAAGATAGGCTATAGCTGAGGCGAGACTTTGAATGATCCACCTTGTCTCATTCTCTGAGAAATGACCTTTCCTATCCAGAATTTCTTTGAGTTCTCCATCCTCACAAAGCTCCATCACAAGATACATTTTCTGACATAAATATAAAGAGAGAGAGCACAAATTATTCAGTTGGGTATGTTTAAATGTTATATATTGTATACAGAGAGTAGAAATATCATTATAATATTAATCAGTCTATTCATTTAAACATAGTTGCTATCTGTCATGTACAAGATACTCTGTAGGATACTAGAGGGGAAAAAAGTGGAATTATTAGTCACTCAGTCATGTCCAACTCTTTCCAACCCCATGGACAATAGCCCGTGAGGCTACTCTGCCCATGAAATTCTCCAGGCAAGAATACTGAGGTGGGTAGCCATTCCCTTCTCCAGGGGATCTTCTTGACCCAGGGATCGAACCCAGGTTTCCTACATTGCAGAAGCTACCAGGGAAGCTCTACTAGAGGAAAGAGCAAGCGTAAAACATACTCTCTGCCTCCAAGGAGCTCAGAGTATGGTTATGATCACAATGTCATGTGATAAGTGCTAACAGAAGAGGACTGCCCAAAATGTGACGAGGTTACAGAGCAGGGGGTGAGCCTAAAGAATACTCACTGTGAAGAAGCGCCATTTCAGGCAGGTCTGGATGACTGAACAGGGATTTATGGATAGAAAATATGGGCAAGAACAGGCATAGCACACAACATTTGCAGACTGCACAAGCTGGAAATAACACTGGCAGTTAAAGAATAACACATATCTCAGTGTTAATAGCATTGAGAATTTGGTAAGTCAGAGAAGACTGGAGTGGTGAGGGGTGAGGCCAGAAAGAACGGGTTGGTGCCAGGCTGTAAAGAGTCCTGGATGTCACACAAAGGAGCTCGGATTTTTTTCCCCCATATGCAATAAGTAGCCACTGAAGATTTTTTTTTTAATTTTTGCCCACTCTGTGATCTCCAACCAGGGATCGAACCTGTACCCCCCACAGTGGGAGCTCAGTGTCTTAACCACTGGACCGCCAGGGAAGTCCCACTGTGGAAGATTTTTCAGCTTATGTCTGGAGTGGAGGAAGTGTATGTGCTATCATCAATTCTGCATTTCTAAACGAACACTCCACTCCAACAGCAATGCAGAGCAGAACTCAACAAACTTCTTCTCTGTGAAAGCCAGATACAGATAGTGAGTGTTTCCGGCTTCACGGACCATACCACCTCTTCTGTAACCACTGAGCTCTGCAGTCACAGCGTAAAAGCACCCAAAAACAATACAACAAAACTTTACTTATGGACTTGGAAACTTAGTTTCATATAATTTTCACATGTCATGAAGTATTACTATTTTAACCTTTTTTTCCAACCACTTAAAAATGTAAAAAAACCTAACTTACAGGCCATAAAAAAAACAGGCTGCACTCCAGACGGGCTCACATGCTGTGTACACTGACCTCTTTTCATAAAAGGGTAGATGTGAGGAGCAGAATGAAGAGAAGAAGAAAATGATGTGAATGTACGCAGAGGGAGAACTAGTGGAACTCAGTGACTAATGGGGTATAAACAGTAAAAGCCACAAGTGAAATGCCTCTTCCATATTTGCTGTATCTGTGGATGTTTCCTATAATCACTAAGTATTCCAATAGTCAGGTCATCTATTGAGTCAGAAAGATTCCGTCAACTAAAATGCACGCCTTTTTCATACTATTGCTATTCAGACACAGACCAGCCTCCATGTCTCCATTTGGTCCTCTGCCACTACATTTTCATCTTTGTTTGTAAGATTCTGCGAACTGATCCTGTTCTATTACCACTCCTGATGCAACTTTGTGTTGAGTCAGCAAGCAGGAAAGCAAGAGGAGAAGGCTAACAACCTTTCTTCCTACAGTCAAAATTCTGACTCACTAAACCTTAGGATGCCTTAGAATTTCAAAAGTAACTACAGAATTCTGTAAAGTCTAACGCAAAAATAAGCTTTTGAACTAGGCCATCGTTTTTCCACTGACAGCATGGCGGAGATCATGAAATGAAATGGTAAGTGAATTATTTGGAAGGCAAAGTTACATTAGCAGTGCTTACAATACAAATTGATCCATTTAAAACATGTAAGCTGATAAAAGTTATTATCAATAAAGGTTTTTTAGAAGTCTTTCTGTAATTATTAAAAAATAATTGTGTAGGCCTGGAGAATATGTGGACTCACAAGAAACCCTACATAGTCAACGGATGATCAGTATTACTACCTTAGCCTAACCAATCAGTTAACAATTTCCTTTAATCTTTAAGATGGCTTCAACTGGAAGTCTAGGCGTTTGTGTGAGTTGGGAAGATGGGGAGACAGATCTGACCTTTGTGAATCAAAGGCAAACATTAGGTAAAAAATATAATCATAGATGATGGTTTCCTTCACCTTCAAATTATTCTAGATTTGGACTCCCACTTATGTTCCAAAATGAAGGAACAGACCAGACTTGTCCTCCCTCCTGAAACAACCTAAAAAATGGATAAAATACATGAAATAACAATTTTCAGACATTAGTCATCAGGCAGCACAAGGCAGTGATCCCCGACAGAGGGGAAACCTATGAGACAAACCCCACGATTATCCTAGCTTACCATCTAGAGAGAGTTTCCAAGCTACAGAGAAGGGAAAGAAAACCCAAGCAGAGCTCAACAGTCTACATGAACTGAGGAGATGGTGCTGAGAGTCCAGGAAGGCCAAGACAACTAAACTCCACGAGACTGCCAAAGAGGGGAAGGCTGTACACAGAGAAAGCACTATAGATTTGCAGGTGGCTGCCAATCCCGCCCTCAACTCTTCAGCAAAGTGCTAACTAACACATATGTATCAAGAATCTAACCAGAGGAAAAGATGGTGGAGGAATAGGTGGACGTGGAGTACATCTCTCTCCACAGATACATCAGGAATACACCTTCAGACACAGAAGTGCATGCAGAACACCAGCTGAGATTGGACAGGAGTACCTGACCAGCGGAAAAGAATATATAGACCCACATAAAACTCGGTAGAATGAAGGAACCAAGGGGAAAAACAGGAGTGTTTATAGGACTGGACCTGCCCTCAGCGGGTCGGGGAACTGAAGCAGGGGTCTGATCCCCACATTGGGGCAACTGTCTGAGTCAGAGGAGAAACATTTAAGGCTGAGAGTGAAACATCTGATCTGTGGCAGCCTAAATGGAATGAGAATCAGACAGTTCTTGCTGCAACCATACATGCCCTGGACAGGGATGCAGACTCCCCTGGAAGGCGCACCGGCTGGGAGATGGGAGTTTAGGAATTGTGGAGCAATCCCTGGGCGAGGGCTGCTATTGACTGCGGAGAGACGGATCAGGGGATGTGAGGGAGGAGATTGTGCTGGGAAGTGCCTGCAGAGGAAAGCTGGGCAGCCATGGAAGCAGGGCAATACTGCTGAGTCATGCGTAAGGGGTGGAGCCATCACCACAGCCTCTCTCCCCCTACACGCCTGCAGTGGCAGCTGAACAACAGAGGGGCTGGCCCAGCAAACGCCTGAGACACTTAACTACAGAGTAGGACCCCACCCAGGATGCCCCTTTAAGTGCCTGACATGCTGATCTACAGAGTAGGACCCCAGCCACGAGGGCCCCTCTATGTGCCTGATGCATGAACAACAGAGAAGGACCCCAGGCAAGGAAGCCCTCTAAGTGCCTGAACCGGTTGAGCTACGGAGAAAGACTGGCCAAAGAGGCCTTCTGATCACCAGACACAAGAGGCACAAAAAAAGATTCTGATAAGGCTGTAACTCCTGCAGCAGAGGCAGTCCGGGTCCCTGCACACTTGGCGCCTCCAGGGTCCCCCCAAGCCAAGCAGTTGTGTCACCTTCACGCTCAGCTCTCACTGGGGCAGAGCTGCCACAGGCAAAAAAAGTCTCGTGCCTATGCGTGCAGGGTCGCTTCGGTAGTGTCCGATTTTTTGCGACCCTGTAGACTGGCCTGCCAGGCTTCTCTGTCAGGAAGGGGTGTTCTCCAGGCAAGAATACTGGAGCTACTGGCCAATACTGGTTGCTATAACCTTCTAGAGCATTGTATTTCCTGCTGCCCTAGCTGCCAACTCCCCCGAGTACCTGGTGCTGCCAGAATCCCTGCAATTCTGCAGGGAGCTGCACCATCTCCACACCTGGCCCTCACAGGGGCAAACCCAAGTCCTCCAGGGCAGCCTCAGGAGCAAACGCCAGTGGATGGCCCATATGCAGAGGTGGAAATAAAACCACAATTGAAACCCAGGGGCAGTGTGACTAAGAAAGAAGACCCAAAACCCTCCCACCAGCTGTACAAGCTACAGATTAAATCCATCTCTGTGGAGTATATAAAAGGTCATTGAGAGCTCCCACAAAAAAAAAAAAAAAAACATATTAGTTCTGATAGCTGTGGACACTGGAGGCAAGAACACAGAGGAGTAGAACCCTATTAGAATCTGAGCTGCCCCACAGCAGGTCCAGAGATCAGCACAGTGTTAGAGGGCATCCTAGGGAGGTGAGGTGGACTGTGACTCCCAGCGAGGGAAAGGACTCAGACAGCAGTGACTCAAGAAAAACATTTATTATTCTTGTGTTTTGACTTGTTCTGTAGATTCTTTTGGAGCTTTTCCCCCCTCCTCTGTTGTAGTTGTCGATTTTATTGGCACTATGAAATCTAATTAAGCTTTTGAGCTTTTTCTTTTTATTCTTTTTTTCTCAGTCACATTTTTTCTTGTTGTTATAAACCTCTGCCTCTAGGTTGGGCTTTTGCAGTTCTGTTTCTTTTCTCTTTGTTTAATTTTAATTTTTTAAACCTATTATTATATTTTCTACGTTTATTCCTGTTTGCTTTTCCTACTGTTCTTTCCCCCCTGTAGTTAATCTTTAATATATATAAATCTTCTATATCTACCTCTATTTAACTTTGCATATCTATTCTTTCTTTTCTTTCTTTCCTTTCCTCTCAACATATTTGTTAGTTTTATTTTCATTACTTTGTTCCCCAGTTGACACCTTGCTTTAGCTTTGTTTTCCATTTTGTGTTTTAGTTAGTTTTGTTCTGGTAGACATAACTTTTCGTTCCCTTTGTTCGCCATGTCAAATCT